TAAAGGTTATCTGTAAAGAAAGACGGACAGCAATAGCCTGAAGATTGCTTTTAAGAGGAACCGAGCTATGGATAAGACCCTGCCTCACGAGAATAGAGGCGCCGCCAGTGGCTTTATCGCCTGGAGGTGAGAATGAATGGAATGAATTGTACCGACGCAATTCAAACTTATCTGTACTTTTCAAGTAGGTCTCTTTGTAAACTAAAACCGATGGATTAAAAATCTTGTGATAATAACTGTAGATCATTAAAATTATTCCTAAGGCCTCTGCAATTCCATTGTACCTAAATTAATAGAGTTGTTCATGGCGGTTCAACAGGGGATCTTGACCATGAAGAATGTCTACTCCCCTCGTCCTGGCTGTGAGGGAGCGACCTCCATATCAAGAGGTCCAAACGGATTATGAACCGTCACGGATGTTGACGAGGTAGATGGTACCTCTAAATGCTGGAGGGCCCTTTGCCCTACGCATCTTTTTCTTTCTTTATTTGACAAATGGCTTATGTTTCCTGGAGTTGATTGTGTCTCTGGTTCTTGTTCTGTCTGTGAGGCAGTTGTTGACGAACTTTGCTCATTTTGAGAGGACTGGGTGGAGTCATCGAGTGTAACTTGTTTGGCCTTTACCCAAGATATGGCTGTCTGGCATGAAATTGAAACCTTGTTACAGGATGATGAACAGGGAAAGAAACAGTGGCTGAATATGATCGAGTTGTAGTTGTTTGAGACTGTGCAGGTATTAACTTTCTGGCTTCGTGGTAGGAGAGGTTGTTAGTGATTTTGATTTTGAGAATCTTTGACTCGAGTTCAAAATTAGGACATGATTTGACGATGCCATGTGCTCACCATTACAGTTAGCACATCTGATGTCTTTGGTACATTCAGTATTATCATGAGCCCCACTGCAACGGGAGCATACTGGTTTACGAGTGCATGACTTGGCACCGTGTCCAAATTCTTTGGCACTTAAAACATCGCAGCGGATTAGGGATGTAAACATCAACTGGGATATTAAAGTAACCAGCTTTAATAGCTTTTGGTAGAGACGACAGCCCAAAGGTGAACAGGTAAGTATTAGTTTTAATTATATCTGCCTCCTGTTTTCTGGTAAACCCGCTTAACAGCAGTTACGCCTTGGTGTTTCAATTCATCAGCAATTTCTTCTTCTGTCATATACGCCAGACAACGAGATCTGTCACGGACGATACCTCTGCAAAGAGTTCAATGTCCTGTGCACAGAGACAACAACTGGTGTATTAACAAATTGTTGTAATCCCAACAAGTTTACAGATTGCTGCCTCCGGGCACATTCAACAAGAAGGGAGCCAGAACGAAGACGTGACGTTTGCTACCTCTCCACAGACACTTTTGATACCCATCGATATAGCAAAGGGATTCAGTTTCAATGGACTTCCATCTGCGGTTTCAATAACCAAGAATCTTGGCCATGAATCCACCACCGCTGAAGAGACTTCATCATCAGATGATGTTGAAAGGTGTCTACGTTTATTCGTTTTGAACCAGGGGAATGTTGTGAGCCATAGTATTATAATGATTTTCAGCAACCCTGATCTCCACTCGCCATCGAGTGTCAACACGGACGACCCTGCAGTGGAAACCAAACTGCACGATCAGAGCTACAGGGATGCTATATACTTCAGAAATACAGACATAAATAGCTAAGAAATCAAAAAGAAGAAGTGTCTAGCTGGTTCGGCTTTTGACATTCTTCTTAAGAAACTCAGAATTCAGGAGGTCTATACCACCAGATTGGCCCATGAGCCACCGCCTTCTGGCATAGGACTCTAGGCAAAAATGTAAATTTGCAATAATAAGGGTTGTCACAGTCTTTAATCAACAATTTTTGTATGTCATGATTAATCCAAATAAAACATTTCCATGCACAGGGCATGACGTGACCAGCCGATTGATAGAACTGGGCCAGTTCTACCACCCGTCTAGGTGAAGTAAGGGGCGAAGTCGTGTGTTGGGCAAAAGAAACACGGTTCCAGGCTCCAAGTGCCTCAACCACCAGCCTCCCGTCCTCCACCGACACAGGGGCGCAACCCACGGCAAACGGGTTGGTGGACCAAAATATCCCCCGGGTCCACAACGAGGGGTTGAAAGGCGCTTAGCGTGACTCCAGCACCCACCACGAGGAGGTGGCCTTTCATGGGTGCCGGAAATTAGAAATATGTCAGATGAGGAAGAGAGTTTGTGTGGATGTCAGCTTCTTTATTATGAGGAACACCAATCAATATTACAATAAATGTATTGCATAGTTCATGTGTGATAGTGTGCCATACATACGTACATTGTATATGGCAATGAAGCAACTTATAACCTAAGTGTGATAAAACACTGATATCGAAATATAATCATCTGTCTTAAATTTATGTTCTGGTTAAAATATCTGTTCAGTACACTTTACTTTTGAGTGACACAACGGCATGTAAACCTGAGCACTCATTAAAACTGTGAGTGAGTGAGTTCAAGTTTATAGTCACAGCGGCAGTATTTCAGCCATATCGTGACTTAAGATAGTTATAAATTCATGACAAATGCACAAATTTTAAAAACCTGTCGACGAAGGACAGTAAAACCAACTGGTATATCACAGTAATAGAAAATAAAACTAGCGTATATCTCTAAATATGATTTCAAATTAGGAAAATACAATATAAAATAAGACTGAGGATCGCCAACAACTGAAGATAGATCACTATTCTAGGGACTTAAAACTGTGAAACATGTTATAGCAAAGCATTCACAGTTAACCCTAGTAATTATTGAGAATAATGAAACTAAATGCATTCCGCTTCTATGTTGTACCAGATGTCAAATTAGTCGCATGCTGTTTTTAGATACATTTGCAGGCTTTGTTATAGATTTGAATTTCTGCCTCTACCTGCGAGAGATAATAATACCACGGTTTCTGTTCAACACGTGTATATATCTTCATTAAATTAAATAATGTCATGCCCAACACCAGCATAAAGTATCAAATATGATTTAACTGGAGTTCTAAGGGATAATCATGTGTGGACACGGCACCTATGTGCACATAAAAGCAATCATTATCTCATCAGAAAGGTAGAAATTATCATACGGCAATCCTGATATTTCTCCTAGTATGATAACGAAGTTTTGAGGATTTCTATATTCAAGGTAGGTAGATTTATCGCCTCGTATATAATGTCTGATACTATAAATGTTCCAGAAGGTCATTCCCTGAACATCAGCGGAGGTGTTGTAGAGTTATCTCAAGCCGCGATTAACCATGGAAACAAACTGATGCCCGATTGCTCAAAACGAAACGACACTTTACGTGTGCAGTTTCAAGTCTGATGACACTGCCACAAGGATATCAGTATATGCTCTTGATGTGAGACTGAATCGGGGAAATGGAAGAATATGCTTGTCTGTCCGACCTGGGAATGAAATCACAACGAGGAAATGTTCAACAGTGTTCAAACCGTTTGAGAGACTCAACGTAACAACTGAACTCCCTCTACATATCCACTTCAAAGATATTCGAAAGCACTCCATCAATTTGGCTTTTGATCAAAGCTAAGAACGACGGACAATAGACATGCTATTGTACACACATTGTACAAGTAATTTCAGTAAATATCATGTAGTACATATACCTGTATGTTCAATAGTAGAATGAGAAATCACCAGTCCTTGCGTAAACAAATGTAAATTACCATTGTGAATAGTGATTAATAATACCTTATCTTGCGTGTATTTTTCGTTTAGTTCCATCTTATTGATGTATTACTAATGCTTAATTGTTTGATGACAAAACTGTATGATATTATGCTTGGAGTTACATTTGCCATTGAATGGGACAAGTGAAACTGGCGCACTCACAAGCACATGTAGACAGCCACGAAATACTTCCATTATAACTATTGCACAATTATGTTCCTTGTCCGATCACTTCTGGGATGTTTCATTGCCATTTTAATCTCAATAAGTCCAACACGTGTATTTTGATCAAACAGGTACAAAAGCACAAGAACAACAAACAGCCATGATTCCATGGCAAATGACAGCTTATCTTCAGGTTTGTTAGTTTTTTTGGAGTCTTTTAGTTCAACGCTGCACTCAGCTAATTTCAAGCTATACGAAGACGGTCAATATCACCCAAAACAACGCCATGCATATCTTCAAACAAGTAACTAAGGATAAATTCACACTTAAGATGTCAGAGCTAATTGCCAATGATGATTTTAATTTTAGGAACGTCACTGAAAGATTAATATCGGACTTGCCGGCTTTGTTCCCAAAGGCCTGTAATTAATACATCCACATCATTATGATTTTCGTCAAACTTAGTTGCATTCATACATATCTGTATCTTGCAATACACTCAAGGTCCACTTTGGTATTAAGAGGGAACATTTTGACAGCTGTTACTGCAGAAATGGAATACCTAGTAAACGCAAAGACAACGTATAAAATCATGCATGATTTATGTCATGTGAGTTTCATATATATCACCTCACACACAATAAACGTAAATGCAATTAATTATTGTGTGTTGACTTACACAATACAATTCAGAGAAATATATAGTTACATTCCAAAACAAACCAGTGATTAATATCAAGAGCATACATTTATTTGCAGCACTTGAGTTCCAATCTCAGTATGATAATCATGGGTGCACGATAATCAGGAGTTTGTTTAACTCCGTAGCTCACCAATAGTCCAGCTATATGGCGGCATTCAGGAAACTTAGTCTAGCCTGTGCGATCCAGTGATTGACATTACAACTTGATCGACGCAATTATGATATTTGCATCAACAGGTAGTGTTAGACGCCTCTCCTTACAGCAGGTATGGGTAGATGAAGCAACTGATGAATGGATACATGGTATTGTTGGTCTTAACCGCCCATCCTTAATTTACCCATTCACTACGTTAATTGTTTGTTCGCCTATGTATATAATACGTCACATGTACCGAAACAACAATGATTGATTTGATCTCAGGACAGGCAGAAAGTAACGCTGGTGCAATAGCTGGAGGAGTTGTGGCCACAGTCGCAGTTGTACTGGTTGTCACATTGGTGTCAGTGTGGATCATACGGCACAGGTAAGTATTTAATTAGTCCATTTTGTATGTCTGTACACATACTAAATATGCATAGTGTTGACTTGTACTATCGAATTTACAACATGTGACACTGACAAACTGTCAACACGCATGCTCCAACTTGGTTTACCATGGTAGCATTCAAAGGTTTGGAACATCACTGAATAGTTCACGAATAACCCTTAGAGATTTATATTGATTACTTGCATTAAGATTGCAATGAAGTATGTTCATAACGCTACTATATACACCTCTATTAGTGTTAAGGTTACCTGTGTCTGTACATTAACTTCCAGACGAGCGAAAAGCGAAGGGAAGGAGAAGACTGCATCACTTCCGAAGGATGCAAAGTCTGACATGACCTACAGTTTAGCCGGTAAGATCTCACAGGAAAACTACCATGAAATCCAGGACACGAAGACACAGAACAGTGACTATGACTACGCTACCGCGGACGACATGGGTCTTCCTCCAACTACAAACACTTACTTCACCATCGAACCTGCTGGGAAGCTAACTGCAAACGACAATTCAACAGCCTCTGCAGCTGAAGGCGAGTATGATCACATTGGAGACAAGCCATCCCAACAGACCAGTGACTACGATACAACAGCCTCGGTGGCTCAACCAGGAAATACTGAGAAGATGACTATGGTTACAATCACTTCCAAAGAAAGTCAACCCTCAGACACACCAGAATGACTACGACACTGCTGCCTCTGCAACCCAGGCAGTTGCCCAACTCAGTTCGACCGAAAGGAACACAGATGAAGACGACTATGACCATTGTCATAGGGGAACCAATGCTTCTGAGACTGTTAGCTCGCCGTATGATACTACATCTGGAGTAGAGGATAATCCTGATTATTCTGTTGCAGGGCAAATGAAATAAGCATATCCCGAAATTGAATGTGTATGCGTGTTCTTGTCGTACTGTACATGTACATGTATCAGAACGACTGCACACTCCGTACTTGATACCTGTCCTCAGTTGAGGTGCCAAAGAATGTTTCCAGTCAAATGCTTTTTCGTATCAGTGAGGTCAGTGTTCAACATTATCATAAGAAACGAGAAACAGATGGCCTATTCGTCTAAGGTGCGGTAGATTGCACGATTTCAGACTGGTTTATTTATGATTTTGGTTTCCAGCACCATTGAGTAATATGAACATATGCTGAGATATTGGTCACTCACAGACGGAATGATTAATCCTTCCTTGAAATGATTTTTATCAGGTTGGCATTTCCACTATTATCAGTTATGCCTCTTTGATAATAATTAATGAATTTACATGGAGTAAATACATAATACACTGCAAATACCAATTCAGCACTATTACTGTTTACACAATTATGTTCACAGCTTAAAATGAATATTTGGCAGAATTATGCAACATTCTCATTCATCGGTTTGTATCGAGTTTTCAAACTTAGTTTGTCTTCATATTTAAAAATAGTACATAAAAATACAGATTATGTAATACACGTTGTGGCAACTGTTTCCAGGTTCCATTTTAGTGCTCGTGGATACTATATTTTGAATGTTGAGTTCTATGGTTTCAGTACGTTTTCAATTCTTCACCACCAGCTCCTGTATTTAGCTTACAACATTCACGTACATCGTCTCCTTTAGAGGACTTTATATGAGGAAATACTGAAATAGGTTTTCTTTATTGATTTGAAAGGTAAGATGCTCATGATAAGAGTGGATCGTGTTTAAGCGTACACAGGCCACAACAATTAGAACAATTTCATAAATATTCATACTTTTGATGTTATTCATGTTTGAATGTTACGAAAAATTGATGTGTGCGTCGATAAAAACAACCCGACCAAAACAATGAAAACATGCTGCAAGGCGGATAACTAAGTGTACATCATATGTTCAACGCTTGTTATATTTACACCTTCTCCGGAAACTAGAGATTTTATTACTTTTTAGGTTGAAACATGATACCTTCAATGCTTGGGATATTTACGATTACACATTGTTAGTAAAGTAGAGATTGGGGTACATTTTGGGGTTGAGTTCAGTCTTTGATTTTACAACTCATTAAACCTTGGTGAAATGTTTAATTTAATCCTATTAATGAAATCTTGAACTTGATTATTTTCAATTAATTTCCTAACTCGGAATTATTCCTTATAGAAAACAGTACCAAATACCAAATATATATACCAGACTTTTCATGTGAAATGAGTGAAGTGGGTGTAGGAAAATTCAAGATGGCTGTTACAGACGATACAGGGTCTACTTTGAGGTCCGTGAGACCCATCTTAGATTTTACTGATTATATGATAGGTCAGTAGTTCTGCTCGCTGATTGGACAATCTCACTATAAGGCCTAATAATGACAGAAGAAAAACAATCACTTGATATAGTTTTGGTTCAGATTTGTGATATGCTCCATACTTCTTGTACATAAACAGTTAATAGATAGTGAAACTTCAGGGTCAGATTCTGTCAAAAGCATCCATCATTTTTCAACAGCCACAGGAATCTGCTGAAAGCTTACTTGAACCGACTTAGCTTTTCATACCTGAATGTTCGATATATATCGTTATATGACGTGTCTGTGTAAATAGTATGAAACATACAGTCCTCAGTCCTACAGTGACGGATATAATCTATCCTGTGAATACTAATCTTGTACAATGTAGAATTTGTATGTAGAGTTATCTCTCTTCCTTCGTCGATAAAGATGCTTCTCGGAAAGATGAGTTCGTTTTGTGCACATTCAGGTAATATTATACGATCTACGGCCAAAACGTTCCACTGACTCCTTTCAACTTTGCTAACAAGGATGTGAAACACAAGAATGTTATAACTTTAGAACGTCAGTATTCAGTACATATACTACAAATATTTACCCTACGCACTGACACGAACACTGCTACGCACGCCTTTGCTTGTACCACCCCAACTAGATAAACTATATTTCTTCAGTACAGTTTTTTTTTAAATGATGAAGTTTGAGAAGAATAAATGACCATTATTACTTTTTTTATACATATACATACATACATATACATACACACACACACACACACACACACACACACACATACATACATACATACATACATACATACATACATACATATATATACATACATTTGCAAAGCGCTAGTGTCAAAGACCTTCATTAAAGGTACACGTACACATATTACTTGTCCTCTTTTTTATTCTTAACAAGAGTTCAATATTTTATCACAAAGTCAGCAAATTATATTTAAGTGCTCCATTCAGATACAGAAAAAACAGGCTGCATAGACCCGTGAAGATGCGGATTAGAATTGATCTTCAGCAAGACATACTCGATGTATGAGGGCGAACAATGGCATCGGGTGGACAGACTCGCTGACGTGGTTCACACGCGTCATCGTATCCCAGTTGCGTAGAGCGATGTTTGTGCTGTCTGGTCCAGACTCCTTTATTTACACGCCATAGAGCTGGAATATTGCTGAAAGCGGCGTTAAACAACAAACCAGCCAACCAAACAAAACCGAAGCTGCATACATACAATTGGTAAGTATTGCATCTCAAATACCTACACTTTCAGTCTATATGCAATCGTAACATTTCGATGGAGAACTTGTAAGGCATTGTAGTGCATGTATGTCATTGTGGATGATCTTCTTGCAACATCATGATGAAACGGATTGAACATGTCAAGTATATCAAGACTGGGTATATCAGGTCGCGTTTTGTTAATGAGAAATAACCAGCATGTGTTTATGATTATTATATTTGGATATTTATATAGCACTATAGTCCATCCCACATGCATGCTCAAAGTTGGATGTCAATCGATCAATTGCATGGCAATTCAGCGGCACATCATATTATCGATCTCAACTCCTGGGGAACCATACAACTCTTGCTGCAACTAGGCGCACTCCTTTAAAGGTACCCATTCACAGCTGGGTGGACTGGGAGACATACTTTGTCACTGCACGTTGCTGTACCCGCAACTAGGTGTTTGCACGTATTCATGTGTCCACCATCTGGTCATAAACCAAATGATTCGTGGGTTCTTTTAAGTGCACAGGGTTGTGTACTGTACACTAGGAGTTGTGACAACACTGAACGAGTCTGCACGCAAAGTTGGCTCCAAGGTTTTACGCCTGGTCACAGGTGGGCTCGATCCCGGCACCTCCAAGCTCGCTGGATCACTAGCCTGGCGCCTATGACAGCTCGCAAAACCACGACCCCGTATACGTTACCCGTATAGTTAAAAGTTGAGAGATAAGGATTGGTTGCCAAATAGCTTAATGAATGATGCACTTTTACAACTGATGCCCTGTGTCCTTTCCTGTATATTAACGTAAATGATGAAGTAGTCTGGTCGTTAGTTTTGTTATGCTCGAAGACTGGATGTCTTGATATGGCTTGAATATTATCATAAATGGGGTAAAACCAAATTCAGTCTTCCATTCAAACTTTGTACAGCAGGTTATATTCAGTTATACAATAAACAAGAATTTCTTTCAGTTACTTGTCTGGCAGTAATATTTGTACTCAAAAGACAAAAGGAAATGTCCATGGCCTACTAGTATTTACAAGACATTTTGACCTGTCACGATAAACGTCACTCGTCGGATGTGACAAAATATGCTGAACGTTATATAAATACCTAATGCAATATGCTCATAAAATATAGTTATTCCATATACAAGATTATATATTTTGGGGTTTTGTGTTGTTCGCTTGTACTCAAACCTCTGCCGGTCAAGGAAAAAATAAACGTTTGTACACTTTTTAACAGGGCGAGACACACCTAAGACGACTACTGATGTTTGTCAGTGTATGTAGTTGTTTCAAGGCGTTCCGACTAGCACCTTTACCTGGCAGGTAGATGGAATTTTACCTGTCAGTATCCCGCACCTGGGATGGTGTGTCGTTACCTGGACTACGGTATACCCCGTACTTCGGTCCTGACGATAAGGGATGTGCGAGGAAGGTACAGTGTCAGTACCCGGGGGCCTTGGAACTTTACCGTAGTCCATCCAGCAAACACAAGACGATGATCTTCGTTCAACAGTTTTATTACCACTGTGTTGCTGGTCAACCTACTCTATGGTCACTCTATAAGACTTCAGCCGCAAAGCTTCAGTCTTAAGCCAAATGCTGGTGCTTCAAGATAATTTCTGAGACGATTCCTAGTGACCAACAGCAAGAGTAGGCCCGCACCAGACTGCCGTCTCTCAGCTTTGCCCCGCTTAAACCTGGGTACCTACGTCACAGCCAACACCCTTTTTCATTTTTTAATTGGTCAATAACCCATAACCTGACCCTCTATCACTCTCCCCACCTCTATTTCGTACCCCCACTACCATATTTGTACGACCGTGAGGTGGATTCCAGGAATCTCAGAGTCTCTCTCCCCTAACCATATATGGCTCGTAGAGTACCAGGAACGTCGCTCCATCTTGATAGTATAGTAGTTTTTTCTCTATCTAAGCTATGAGTCACTTCACCCTGCCCTCAACAGCTCCAACGACCTACTTTCATGTTCATTGCCTACGTTACTGACTTTCTACCTTACTTCCTACCTTACAACGTTATTAATCACTTCATATCTTAAATATTTTATTAAATCTCTCATAATTTGTATCTTCTGCCCCCTTAATCACCTGTCATTAATAATGTTAATTGTATATCTCTTATTGTGGCAAGTACCATAATCTCATGCCTATAATAGTTGTAACAACGGTGTGTAAGTGAAACATATTTCACCTTGGTGGATGTAAGAACAGACTTCCAAACGTCCTGTACCTGTCTTCAACAAAGAAGAACATTTTCAAAAGCTTTGGGTTTGAGGCAGTTGTCTGTTGTCGCACATGCATGCGTTGTAGAAACATTTAATGGGGATGTTTGTATTTGTCGTCGATGTTAACTACATGTAATACGACCTATCTGTGTGACCACTGCTGTCCAGGTATCCTGTGACATTAGATCTCAAAGTACGTGACGGTATTTTCCTCATTAGTAAGTGCAGTAGTTTCACATTACCATGCAATGTGGTCCTTTTACAGAGGTAGAAAGAAAGATTCACAACTGCTTCGCGGATAACTTGTTTTTCTTCGCGGAGAATTATCAGTGCGGCGGCAATGTTTTACTATTGTATGTCAATCTAGCCTTAAGTCGCTAAGGGCTGAACAAATCCTCATTGTGCGAACTATCTCTCGCACCACTCTTGATAACGTGTTGGGTGAATGCATATCGCGTTGTTACTCACCTGTACTACTTGACCTACATTTAGCCGGATATAACCAGGAAGTAAGTTATAATGCAGACCGTGCTCTGTATCTTTCAAGATAACTTGGCGAGTTGAGCAATCAACGTTATGGCAAAGTCTCTGGTCGTTTGGACATGTATAACCTCCTTTTGCTACATTCTTCCATCAATTTGTACAGGTAAATCTTACATATACATTGAGACAAGGAATATTTGGTGAACAACCGATAATTAGCCTTTCACCTGTACATAGTGACAAGTAACAAAGAACATGTAATATCCTCATTGCAATAAAATACAATGGAGTTTCTACATCCGTGTAACAGTCACCCAGCAATGTTTATTTGACTATAAAAGCCAAGACGTTTACATGAAACCTGTAAGAGCTCACACCTTATCGTGTAG